ATTTGTTGTCGTTGGATTGGATATACCTGCTGTAAAGGTACGCTATGAATTTAATTATTGCATTACATCTACATAAGTTATATTGAAAATTTTTCTGATCAGATAATAATTATTGCTATTCATTATTCTTTTCCTGATTACATGTTACAAATATTATTAATAAAAACAAACTATACGAAAACACTTTGATGATAAATCTTGAGTACTCTTTTCATGTTATAAATCTAAATGCTTTCATGCATACCAGTGGATCAAGTTTTAAAATGTACCTGCTAAGGATAGTTCTCTAATTCCACTTTTGAATACCATGAACTAAATTGATGTTTTTTTATGATCTATTTTAATCTACTTCTTATTTGCAGGCATTGAAGAATGCAAAGAGAAACTTTACTGTCAGTGCAAGGGTTGCAGCTGCAAGAATACATGGGAAAGCTATGAGTGCAGCTGTGGTGATGACAATATGCTATACATGAGGGAGCATGACACTTGCATCAGTGAGTAGGTGAACCTGCATTTTTACATAGCCATCTAATTCTGTCTCTTTGTATTTTCCTTGCAGGCACCTTTTTTAGTGATGAGAAGTACATAATTCTCTCTTTTGTTTGAGATGATTGATCTTATTCCTTTTAAATGATGCAAATACTATTCCCAATCATCTGTTAGGTGCTAAATGTGAGGTGAAGTTCGAATTGGGGCATCCATAGTATGAGCAGCTAGGCCTCAAGCAGAGGGGGGGTAGGGGGAATGAAATGGTGGGTATTTCAATTTGGTTGGGCTCAGTACTTAGTATAGAATTGCTATCTGTTGAAACTAACACACTGATTTTTGTGGTTGGATCAATCTGATCGAGTTTTACATCTGGAAATTCAGATCCTCAGCTGTTGATAAGTTAACAAATAGATTAATGAATTAATAGGTGGCGGATCATGTTTGGTAATACGAGAACATTCTGCCCTTATCCCATCCCATCAATATCTTCCATATTTTCCATTACACAGCTGCATTAATTGTTTTGTTGAACTTTTTGCAAAGAAAATAATTTTGTCATGCACTTTCTAATGATGTATTGTTAAATTTTAAACTCTCTTACTCTGTTCCATACACTCCCATTTGGAGCAACAGTTTCTGCAATGCTTGCAGGCAAATAACATACTAAGAACCTTGCAGCATGATGGTTACTATTAGTCGCACGGTAGTAGTCTTCATCTGGTTTTAGGCCGCCAGTCGTGCTCTCACGCTAACCATCGATGCCGTGGTGCAGTGCTGCGTCGGCCCCTTCGCACGCAACAATTTCCCCTGCTCATCCGTTTAAGTCTGCTTGCCACCTGCTACTTGCTTGATAAAATGTCTGAACCCAAGTGGTGCCTCTAATGAGGCAGAGGCAGAAAACTTGCTGTGAGACTCCTTATTGGAGCTTTTGTTAAAACATTCCAAGGTCAGTACCTAACTGCATTATTGCCTCTTTCTTATCAGCATCGTATAGTCAATGTACCATTAATTATTATTTCATATTATCATGGCCTTGATAGCGGATTCTTAAATATTGTTTCCACAGTTCAACACTACTCAAGTGTTAAAACTGCTTCTCTATCCTCTGATTCCAGAAGCTGTCAGAATTCTACTCTAGCAGTCCTTTGAGAAAGTGGTTGAGAATGCTGTGTTGTCGACAAATGACATTTAAGTTCTATGTTAGTGTTTTGGTGCTTGCAGTTACAGGCTTTCAAAGAAATTCAGGAGCGGCCTCTTCATTGCTTCTTACAATAGTTCTTTCTCTGTTGTATGTAGCAAGTGCAAGGTAGAAGCTGTCAATAAAAATAAGATTTATAGAGTCTGGCTCTGTCTTTGATGTACAGTTATTCAGTTCTTGGTCTCTGTATTTCAGTATTTTTGCTTAGAATGATTTAGACTTTTGGAATGATCTGCTCCTTTATTCATGTGCTTCCATGACTGTATGCTAAGAAAAATGCCTCCATAATTTTCTGCCATAAGAAAACATTTTATCTAAGTAAATGTTATTAAATCTATTTTTTTATAGAACTGCATATGGCTACTATGATGTTGATAGAACAATTTTTCAAACTATATTGCTAAGTTTCCTTAAATCCCACATAGAATCACCACTGGCTAGCTCAAGATGACGCTCTATAAGACGAAATGAGGGCCAAGCTCTGCCCCCTCATTGGGCCAAGTCGCCCGTTTTTCATCCTCCGTTGGATCTTGATCGGACCATCCACGGTGCAGCAGCTAGAGATTCCAGAGCTTTCGTCTCCGGCGTGAGACAAAGCCGTCGCCGCCATCCCCTCCTCACTCCGCTCCGCCGCCGCTTCCACCTGCCACGGGTAGCAGCAGTGAAGCTTGAGGAAGGATAGTGCTAGCTACTCCTACCCCGCCGCCCTCACAGGCATGTGCGACGCTGGAAGCGAGTGCGCAACCCATCCCTTCTTCCTCGCCCTTTGGCCGCGTCGAACGTGCATGCCCCGCCTCCCTTACAGGCATGGGCGCCGCCACTTCCCTCTTTGCAGGATCAGCCACATGCTCACGTGACGGGCGTGGGCTATACAGTGGAAGCGGAGTCAACTGGCGGTGACCGCAAAGGACCGAAGCCCGTAGCACACCGCAAGGCTGATTCCACACCCAGGCGCCATTGGCCGCGCCACCAAGGTGATGGGAGACCAGCGCGACTTGGGACAACGACGGTGGAGGTGGAGCATGGGGCGATGCCTAGCCTGGATCAATGACACGCTTTATGGTGCCGACTCCATGCTTGCCTCACCTGCTTATGAGGAACGCCCCTAGGCTGTTTGATGAAATGCCTGTTCAGAATGCCATGACTTGGAACACTCGGTTTCATCTACCTCTGTGTTGGTAAGTACAAAAGATGTTACTTATTTCCTACCTTCTTTTTCATCTGACTATAGGTATTAGAATACTGAATATGGATATAACTAAAGAGAAATTGAAAATGATAAGCATAGCATGGTTTTGAATTGAACTTGCTCTTGGATTTTCAAGAGCACGGTGAACAGCCCCATCATTTCATTGCCTACAGTGGTCTGGTAAACAGCATATATTTAGTCCAAGAGGGATAGTTGTCATGCTTTCACAAGACATCTGGTCATGTAAAAATCTTAGGATATTTTCGACAATACTTGCCTCTGCACTTAGAAAGTCTTGATGGCACACCAAGTGTATAACTTGGTACTGGTACCTTCTTGTTGTTTCCTTTCATCCAATGGCTTAAGGAGCTTTTGATGTTGTTTTCAACGATACACAAATTATTACATATTTGGTAGTTGATATTTCATATTTGGTACTTATCTTAGTTCCTGTTTTGTTTTTATTCTCCAATGAGCTCCAACAGCACATTCAAATTTAAACAAATTTTTTAGGGTTAAATCATTGTGTTTACCAATATGTTCTGTATTATAAGCTCCACAGATTCAAATATGAGTACTAACTGAAAACTAATAGAAAATGTTCAGCAAGATGAAATTAAATTTGAATATAAAGAGACTGATCGTATTGTTTGATATGCCACCATATATCTAAGATTAGATGTTGCATAAGCCTAACAGCTATTATACCCCGTGTAGAAATAAAACGATTTTGGTGAATGCGGATCAACCTAAAAATGAGAGTCCAATTTTAACAATCTCGCCATTTTATTCGGTGTCATCTGCTTGTGTGGATATCTAATTGTAAGCACTTTGAGCATTACTGTACAGATACAGAGCCATATTGAACGCCTTCATGAAGACTTAGGCCAGTTTACTGAAGATTTTAATCATGGTATTAGCAATCAAAATAGATTACATAATTGTCGCGTGTAACTATGCAACTCACCATGCATAGTACATGAATGCAAAGTAGCTTGGTTCTGACATCTTGCATTTATGAGAGGATAGCTATCTCATGAAATGTTTCAGTTTCCTTTTTACAAATTCTAGAATAGTTCCCCAATTTTTTAGTAGGATTCATGGTCCTCCTGTCCATTATGTTATTCAGATAACACAGTCTCGGCAGAACAGGCAGTTAGCAAACTAGATTCTACAGATAAAACAGTTGGACACTTGGACTTGCAGTTGCTTGGATTGATTCTAATTTTTAGAATATATATATAGGTGAATGCATAGACTATTGGCCAAAGAAATAAAGACAATAGCTAATATGAAGAAATAAAGGACCTTCTCCCTCAGCGATAGAAGCAACAAGCTGAAAGAACTCAAGTCCTTTAACAAAGTTGTTCACCTTCCATGAACACTACATGTGATTATGCATGTAACTTTAGAGTTAAATAGCACAACCGTACCAATACAAGTAAATTATTATTGATACCTCTGTGTTTCATCAGCTCTGTTACATTTATTCTTAAGGCTGATGCTGAGACGAGTGAGGTTTATGCACATATGACACTGCAGCCACTAAACCTGGTAACAAACTTTGTTTTATTTTCCCATCTGTTTCTATATTTCTGTTTTCTTTAATCAAAGACGCTTTTGTTTGGTTTACTATGCAATACGAGCTCAGATAAACCAAACCATTAGTGCTTCTAAATATTCCACTATTAACCCTATCAGATTTCAACCAGCAGCCCCACCACAGGAGTTGATTGCAAAAAAACCAGGGCAATGGGTGGAAATTTCATCATATCATTTCGTGTAACTATTTTCCAGTAACTTTTGTTGGTCTGCAATATTACGATTTTTTCCATAGCTCCATAGCCTGTATCACACTATTCATGAAAGAGTCTCACATCAGTGTGACACTAACTTAAAATTAAGTTATTCTGTAGGTCAACCAAAAGTTGCATATTTGCTAGAGTCCTTGTACTTTATATCTGGTACGGTATTATTTAAAAATTTCAAAATGAGGACTCATTTTTCACTTTCTCTTTTAAAAACCTAGCATCCCGCAGAGAGTTTTCTGTATATGTCTAAAGAAGGGCATGTTCAAGATACCTTTTACTCGTTATTCCAGTGGTCTACTGATCAAACTGATTACTATCTTTGATTGCAGGCTGTTACCATGAAGCACCAGGAGTTTTTAAGCCTTATCCACAAATAGGCCAGCTTTGAAGTCATTAGAATCATTTCTGAAGGTGCCTAAACATCAACAGCACATTAAACGACTTAAATTCATGGCCTTGTTCCCTCCAGTGAGAGCGCGATAACTACATAAAGTTTCAAACGTAACTATGCAAAATAAATTGAGATGGACTCAAATAGTAGGCAAACTTTGTACATGAATTATCTTATATATATATATATATATATATATATATATATATATTGTACTACATCTATGGTTGTTACTTATACGGGCTCAATCGAGGAAGGGCGCGGCAAAGCCGCGCCTGGTTTTCTAGTGCCCATGATACGAGGATCATCTGTTTGTCTTCTATCCAATTATTAAGTAAAAAGCTTGCATCCATGGAAAGACCACACAGTTGTTGTCCTCACTACTTTGTTTTAAATTGTTGTTCACTTTAGCTTTAGCTTTGTCCTAAGTCAAACTAGTCTAACTTTAAGCAAATTATTAATAAAAATTTACACCAATATTTGCAACATCAAATAGTTTCATTAAATTATCTACAAAATATGCTGTGTTAAGCATTAATTAGAAAGATCTTAGGAGCTCAAAAGTTTTAGAGGTTTTTAGTTGTTGCACAAGTTAAGACTTGTTTGCTTAAATTTTTATTAACCCAATTGAACCCTCTTGGGCCAATGGGTCCTTACGGTACCGAAGCGTGTTGAGTTTTTGTAAGTAATTCTATATCCCCAACTTTTCGTGCATAATATATGAACAGTAAGCACAAAGCTGTTACAGAGAAATCTAAGTCCAACATATTATTCATCTCATCCTAATAAAAAAACACAGTATAAGGGATTGTAGTTGGTCCAACATATATTATTTATCTCATGCTAATACAAAAAATGTAATATAAAGGATTGCGGTTGCTCCAACAGATTACGAATCATATTCTCAACGTCTTAAAGTTACTTTTACTAATTGCTCAAAATCCACCCCCATCCCTCTCTTAAATGTAGGAAATACAATCCCTCTCAATATCCACTTTAAAAATATTGGTAATCTTTTGGACGAGAAAAAGAAAAAACTACACTGTCAATAATAGGATTATCACCTATATAGAATTTTCGGAGACGAGAGATAATTAATTTTGTTGAAGTGCTCTAACAAGGTATCATGCATCTTCACACAAGATAAAGTAGTACACAATGATTCTAATTACATGTATTTGATTCGTATATATAATACACTAAACAAGGGCTAATCAGTCGCGACGTCGTTTTCGCCGATTCTACCCTACGGCACCGGACGGTTGACCGAAGCCCAGCACGGACGTGCGGCGCGCGTCCCCGGTCCCCACGGCGTCGCCTTCCACGGTCACGACCAACGTCCCCCCCGCCGCACCGATCAACGCCGGAGGCGGCGACGGCGCGCGTCCGCCCCGCCGTCGCCTTGGGCCGCACCTCGGCCCGGCACACCGGGCACGTGTTCCGGGACCGCAGCCACGCGTCGACGCAGTCGACGTGGAAGACGTGGCCGCAGCCCGGCAGCGCGCGCACCTTCTCGCCGTCCGCGAGCTCCGACAGGCACACCGCGCAGTCCGCCGCCGACGTCGTCCCGGCGGCGCTGCCGGAGGCAGAGCTAGACCCGTCGCCGCCGCCGCCGCCGCCGCCGTCCGCCTTGCGGACGCGGTACGTGGTGACCGGCAGCGTAGCGAGCGCGGACGCGTCGAGGCCGTGGCGGGCGCTCCTCCTGCCGAAGGAACCGAAGGAGCGGCGGACGCCCAGGGCCAGGCTGCCCCGGCCGCGCGCCACGAACTGGTAGAGCAGCAGGCGGATGAGGCCGAAGACGACGGTGAGCATGGCGAGGATGATGACGGCCGTGAGCAGGACGCGGCCGCTGAAGCTATAGTCCGGCTGCTGCTGCTGCATGAATGGGCTCGGCCCGCCGTCGGGCACCGGCGGCGGAGGGCTCGACATGGATGGGCACGGCCGGCCGCACGGGCCAACAAGGCCAACTGGAATTTTTTGTAATCAAGAACTTGGCAGGACGCGGAGGGATAAGTGATTCTTGTCTGCAATGGAGGTTAGGATACGCTGGGGGGTTGTAGGTAGTGACGTGGTCAACGCCGGCGCGTGTTAGAAAAAAAAATGTTGTGTGTCTATGGCGATGATCGAGGCCGATGACCTGTGTGATGGAATGGAAAAAGGAGGGATGGCGTGCCGAGAATTCCACAACGCCCATTTCTGTACTAGTGCGCGCGAGAACGATCGTCGCGCGGCCAAATGGACGTGATCACTAACGTGGGCAGGTTTTAAACTAGGCTGATCCAACTCAATATAAAATTTGAAACAACGAACAGATTAAATGAGCAATAAACAGTGAAACTTGCTCAAAGTAGTTTTGCTACTTAAGTCCAAGTCTCTGACCCACACGGGCACACGGACCACCCCTCAGCAACATCTCTCAACGTGCTGGATTTCGAGTTTGCTTATGTATAGCACAGTATAGTGTTTGTAGCACTGGAGGAACCAGCCCCCCCCCCCCCCCAACCCCCACACACAGTGAAAATAGTTTTAGTACCCTGTAAAAAATTCAATTGAACGCCATAAAAAATTATTTCATCCATTTTTTATAATAATATTATGTTTTTTCGCTATGAATACTAAATGCAGGTGTAAAACCTTGAAAAACTGTTGAGACATACATTTAGTGTATAGATTTGTCATATTACGATTTACGAGGTGTTGTTATATTGTTTGGCCCCTCTTAATTAAAAATTCTGGTTCCACCTCAGGTTTGTAGGAAGGGGCAAGGAAGTTTGATCAGGAGTCAACCATGTTATTTTGCTTGTGCTGACTGACTTGTGCAAGCTACTTTGGACAAAAAGGAACGATGCAATGCCACAGAAAAATGCGTAGCCGCAATGTCGCAGGAAATCGAACAGAGGCGTGTGTGTGGCTTTATTCCGTCGTGGGGTTGGGTTTGATGACGATCGAGCCTTTTTTTCGACTCAGATGACGATCGAGCTGAGAAGCTCTGAATTATAGACACCGCAGAAAGATCCAGTGCTTTTGGCATTTGGCTTGGTTGACGTGTCGTGCACAGCGCCCTCGTCCTTGCTGATGCTGTGTGCAGGCGGCTGCAGGCTTAGAGTACCCACAATGCTGAGTCAAAAGCGATGCCGAAACATGGAAAAGTGACTCTTTGGCATCGGGTAGTGCCATTGTGTGAAGTGATGCCGAGTTCAAAAATATTGGCATCGAGGAACCTACATGCATCGGTGCTGAGGAATAAAATAGTATTTCATTGCCGACGTTTGCTGCTTGCTCGTGCATAGGAAATGAAGATGATGCTTTGACATTGGTCCCTACAAGCACATGTATGTCGATGCTGAACACTGTGATGGTGGAGTGTTTTTCAGCATCGGCTGTGATAGTTTTCTCAGCCTCGACTACGCTGTGGGTAGTCTTAGACCACCCCTAACGCTGGCTGACAAGTGTGTTAGCTTGAACAAAAAGCAGAGTACATGTAGGCATGGAAGGTCCTAGCCTCCCATGCCCTCAATCTAAGGTAGCGTTTGGTTGGGAGTTAAGGTGCGGTGAAATAGTCACATCTCTATTTTCTGGGGCAAGATGGAGATAGGACCGCTCTATTTTCTGTTTGGTTGAGAAGAGACGGGATGGATCCATTTTGTGTTTGGTTGAAAGGATAAATAGGAATACGATGGATGAGAAATTTGACGCAGTTAGCTACTGTTGTAGTGGGACCCACCAGGACCCATGTGTAAATCTTTTTTTCCTTTTACTATATATATATGTCAATCTCTTTTTTCCTTTATATTATATTATACATAATAAATAAATAAAATCCTCAAGCCGCGTCACGGAATCACCACCGTGCCTGGTGCCGCTGGCCTCCCCATGCCGCTCGAGTCCCTTCCCCAACCTGCCAGTGCTCGGAGCTCGCTGCTCGTAGTTCGGCTGCGCCGCACCACCTGGATCTCGGCACAGCAGCAGCCCGGAGCTCGGCCGCAGGCGCCGCGCGGCCCTTTCCCAACCAGCCTCGTCACCCGGACAAGGCAGCTGCGAGCTCAAGCATGAGGAAGACGAGGCAGCCAAATCTCACGAGGAAGAAGACGGCCGGATCCACGAAGCTCTGGGGCCGCGCCGGGCGCCGCGTCGCGCAGGAGGTCCTCAAGCTGGGGCCGCCCCGCGCTGGGGCGGAGCTCGCCCGCGCTGGATCTTGGTAGCGGCGGATGGCCCGTGCCGGATCTCACTGCTCGACTTCGCTTGACCGGCGCCAGAGAAGGAAGAATGACATCGGAGAGAGAAATTGCTGCAGGATGAAGATGCTCACGCCATCGCAGTGGGACGCCCCCATCCGCGCTTTTTTCTGGGGCGAGCTCGCCCCCGGTTTGTGCAAATATGCCAGGTATATTCTCTAGTGGGATGTCCCAGTTCCTTTTCGACTCCCAACCAAACATGTCAAAAGTGGGCTCGTCCTATTCCCATCCCATTCCGTCCCTCAAACCAAACAGACCCTAAACTACCACGAGCCTAATCCACCTGCTGCAGTACTAGAATGTGATGCACTGACGTCTACTGCTTTTCTTCAGTGTTTTCTTACATAGCAAAGCCACTATCCAGCAGCATACAACGCGCTCCTACCTGCTGCCTCCAACTTTTGTCAGATGGAGCGGATGTATCTTCTGCAAGAGACTCTGACACGCTGTGGAGCTACAGTTTATGGTGACATGGAGAATCAAAGCGGATGTGGCTTTGGGGCAGTACTCCACGCTGTTGCGATGGAGAAGCCCTTAGAAAAAAAAATCCAGCCTCAACTCAAGTGTCGTTGTTTCTCACCGAACCCTTCTCGGCTTAATTAACAATCACTGGAGTACTAATCAGACAGATTTTTTTTGTGTTGAGAAAACCAGACAGATGAAGGTGAGGAGGGCGGCTCACCGGACCGAGTCGCATGCTCCCGCTCGCGACGGGCCGTGGGGTCGTGATAGGCCGAAGGCTCAAGGAGGAGTCGGACCAAGTCGCAAAACGCTCTTGGCTCGAGCCGTGACGGGCTTAGCGGATGCCCGAGGTTTCAGCAGGCTGTAATGGAAAAAGTTCGCGCAACCTCTCTCAACTTTCACGAAAGTTCGTTTTTTCTCTCTAAACTTCGTAATCGGGCAAAACACCTCCGTCAACTTTTAAAACCGTTCATCTTACCTTCCTGGCCTTGTTATGAGTAGTTTTGAAGGCAATTTTGTCTTTTTCTTTTTTTTTTATTTATTTCGGTCGAATCTTTAAAAAATCATAATAAATCACAAAAAATCATAAAATAGAAAATCCAATTTTGTTGGACTCCACATGAACAGATCTACACAGTGAATATATAATATGGTGTAACACCCTTGGTGTTACGAGCTTACTTAGCACCGAGATTTAGGTCAAGAGGAATTAGCCTAACAAGTTTTTAGGTTTTAAAAATTTATAACGCACGTGAAATGATAAACAAATTCTATGTGACTCACTTTTGTGGTCGAGAAAAAAATCAAATAGATATCTAAGTTAATTTACTCAGTGCGTAAATGTGCTAATGAAAATCCTAACAAGAAAAATAGGAAAAATAGTTTTCATTGTTTTGCACGAAAAATAATTTCTATAAACAAAAATAAAACATAACTTGTATTTAGTACTTAAATAAAAGTTAAAGTACAAGTTTAGTAGATGGAAATACAACTTTAACTTTTGAAAAATAAATATTGTTAACTAGTGTTCTTGAGAGCTAAAAATCAAATTTTACGTTAAGATAAGATCTTTTTGTTAAGTCGGCAAACACTTGAACTATTGTTAAAATATTATTTTTGACGAATTATATTGAGCAAAAATAGTTCAATGGTGCTTAAATATCCTGCTCATATGCGTTAGTATAAGGTATGGGCTATTACATGAAGTATTTATTGGTTGAAGTTAACAAGGTTTAGACCGATTAAAAATTCGATAAAAGAGTTAATGGCTACTTAGCCCCAACTGAAATCCTTAACTTTTCTAAGTATGGAAGGGTTGTAGACAATGTCATTTTGGCATTTAAATTCTAACTAAAATGTTTAAACACTGGATCTATGTTTTTGTACTATTGGTTGCCTCTAAGTGAGTACTTTAGCATGGTAAAATCCATGGATAAGTTGGAGTTGTCGTGGCGTCGCTGAAATTGTCCTAACTTTGTTAGAACACGCTGTCGATCTTGTTTCGGGCTTCGGTCGTGAACTGGCGTTCAACGCGACGAGCTTCTGTTGGCACCTTTCTATCTCCCTCGATGCTCACTCTCCGGCCATGCTTGTTACTCGAACGAAAAGCCCTTAGTGGCTACTAGAATCTTAAACTTTTGTTTTAATCTCAAATGGGTTCTAAGCGGTTGGTTTTGACGCTTTAAAATTCGTGCTTACCACGTGTCTGGCCGTTCGGCCGGGAGTGCGTGGTCATCGCGTTCGGTGCGCGGCGTGGTTGCCTCTGGCCGCGTGCGTGCGTGGGCAGGCTGATGGCGGCCGCCCTCGGCCTGGCTGCGGCGTGGCTGTGCCTTGGCCACCTTTGCTGCGACGCCTGCTGCTGGCCGATGGCCTCGGCACTCGCCCCTCGACTGCCGCTGCTGCCCCACCTGCTGCCCTCCTTGTCTCGAGCCACGCCACTGCTCGTGGCGTTGTCCCATGCCCTTCAACTCACCCGGGCGCTGTAGCAGTTGTTCCCAGCCACACAACCCACCTACCAAGCCTGAGCTCGACGTCGTACATAGTTTACTACATCGCGACGCTGTGCTACTGCTTGCACATGGCCACGCACAGGCACACCTTCAATGGCTCCGTCCAAGCGCTAACCGACATGCCGCCTGCCCCTCGCTCGTGCGATCATATCCCCGTTCTGCCGTGTCTCATCGTGTCGTGGCCAGGCCACCTCTGCCAAGCCGCTTCCCGCGACGTGGCAGT